GAAGCTGGCTGAGAAGCACCCAATTAGTGCTCTAATATCACCAAAGTCCAATAAAGAATTTTAAACCGACACTTTCGTCCATCTGCAGGTGCAAAAAAGAAGAAGCAAACCAAACCTCTGAGTTTTAAAGTGGGCCTGGGCAAAGTCATCAGAGGGGTATGTCATTATTACCTTTTGTATTTACAGCTCCGAAGGTTTGCACTTACTCATCATGTTGACAAATGCATTAATTTTGGTAACCAAGAAGAAACAAAACACCTGCTCCGAAAGTCCAACTGAACAAGCCAGGGAATGAGACAATTAGCTGTACAGCTTTGGTTGTAAAAGGTTGAGGCTTTCAGATCTAAGAAGTGTGAAGCACAGTGGTGGCACCATCATGCTGAGGGACCATTTTGCTGCTAGTGGTAGTGGTGCTTTGCAGAAGTTGGGAGGGTAATGGAAAAATAATGACTTCCATCATTTTTCTTTTTTTATCTTTTCTTTACCTCAGAACAGTTGGATGGACAAAAAAAATGACACCAGTGATCTCACACATCCGAACTGGTTTTGTAATGAGTTAAAGCTTAAGGATCAGTTCTGATCTGGTCAAATTTGGCTCCTTTGCAGCTGGAAAATTGATATTTATCCAGATAATATTGGAAGTGTATTTAGACAGTTTAGCCTGCATGTATACTTGTGATCTCGGGTCGCTTTGGAGAACATGGATGTGATTATTTCTGTTCTCACCCCAGTGGGATGAGGCCCTGCTGACGATGAGCAAGGGCGAGACGGCTCGGCTGGAGATCGAACCCGAATGGGCTTATGGAAAAAAGGGCGTTCCAGATTCCAAGTATCCTTTTCTCTTCATCTGGAAGGTGACGTGGCACTCGGGTTTTGACAGAAGAGGCTTTGTGTTGACACATTTGGGCATGAGTTTGTGCTGTTGGTGATATGCAAATATTTCCTTAATTCCTGCTCCATCAGAATTCCACCTAATGCAAAGCTGATTTTTGAGGTGGAGTTGGTGTCCGTGGATTGAATATTTCCCAACATGCACGAAATGTCTGTTTCTTCCCGTCCCCCGTAAAGATTTTAAGTTTACACCGTCTTTGGACTACATTTGTCAGTTTACTTTAAGTATAAATGGTTGCTGGCAGTTTCAAACACCAAATGGAAAACGGATGATTTTTCAGTGTTTAAGAGGTGGAACGAGTTGTTTTTTTTGCATGTACATAATGAGTAATAAACCCGTTTCATTGAACTCTGTGGTTTTCATTTCAGAGGTTACCGAATTGTTTTCAGGTTAAAAAGGACAAACCTTAGTGCTCTCACCAAAATAATTGAGTAGTTCTGCTGAATGAATATGAAGATGCAAACCCCCATCTTTGAAAAGTAAGATCACATAATGATCACCCAGTTTTCCACTATTTGCAAACAATTTAATTTTGTGCTACACTAAAAAAAAGTATCACTGTGGAAACTGTTTTGTCTGTGCCAGTTAACGTATGTCACTTGTTCCACACATAATTCACCATTTCAAGTTTAATACAACTTTTTAGGGCAGTTAAATATGCGTTTTCTTTTAGCGCCATATGCAAATGAATTAATGGCAACATTACTTTATCTTCAAGGCCTTTAAGCACAAAGCTTTTTTTTACTACCACATTATTACTTTTAAAGTTACCATAAACAGAAACGGCTGTACAGAGAAAACAATGGAAAACTTTCATCTAGTACCACAAAGAAACCCTGTGAAGAGCAGCTGGTTTGCTGGAGACTCAAGTTTGTGTAACTAAAGACATTACTAGATAAAGCCAAGTCAAATATCCTTTATTCTGTACAAGACAACTTTCAACTTGGTAAAAACTGATGACTCTACAGCTGATGGTGTTACTTCTCCATTAGGGCATTGAAGCAATTAGGAGTTGGCGTTGGGTCCCTTCTTCTTTCCGAAGGTGGGCACAACGTTCACAAAGCGCCTGTTGTACTGGATGCGGCGCTTGGCACGGCCGGTCTTCTTTTTCTTCTTCTCCTGCTTGTCAACCTGGAAAAAAAGAACAAAAATGCCTCAGTTTCTTGAGATAATTTTTGACAAACGATTGATTGCACAGCTACTTCTGCAACAAAGAGAAAAGAATACGGGATACTTTACCTTGGGAGTCTGTCCCCTTACTTTTCCAGCACGGGCAAGAGAACCGTGCACCTTACCTGGAAGAAACAATACACTCATGACTCAACATTATACTGTGATTGCATCAACAACTACAAGAATGCAATTTTAAATTACCTTAAAGTCAATGTATCAAACTACAGTTGAATTTAAACAAAAAGCCAAATATTACAGTATTACAACTCCATATGATTTTTAAAACCTGTACTGTGGTTCAATATTTGAAGTCATGCTTTCGTGAAGCAAGAAAATGTCTGGCAACAATGTACTGACCTCCGAGCAGCCTGCCAGCCACCTCCAGGGTGCAGTGCTCAGTCACGCCGCAGGTTGCCAGGGAGGCATCATTCTCCAGTGGGCAGCCAGCGAGCAGCAGCACCTGGTCCTCAACCAGGAGTCCTTCCAGAGCCTGGACATGGGCCTGGAAAACAACCAGAGTCAACACATCTTTAAAATACTGTTCATACAAAAAAAAAAAAAAAAGAGCTCAGTTCAAAACCAATCATTCTGGAACCTTACAAATTTCAGCTTGTAATTGTACTGATTGTTCTTTTTAATGTACCTTGATCTGGCCAACAGTCTCCTGTCCGGTCACCTCAAGGGTGTGAGTGTTCTGGCCACGCAAGAAGAGCTGCATCTTTACTCTGGGAGAGGGGAAGAAAGCCAAAAGGTTAAGTAATTATTATATTACTGGCATTTGCAATCAACCTCCTGATTGTGCCATCCCCTCAAACTATTTTATATTTGCTATTGTGGGTTAAGGTTTCTGTTTCATCAAGTAAAATTACATTCACTACATATTACTTCCTGAGACCAACATAAGGCATATTAAATGTTAGCTCTGCAAAAGCCTTTATCAGAAGAATAGATTTGATTTTAAGAATCAATTTTAAAAAAAACTGTACCTATAATCCAAAACTCAGTTTATTTATGAGTAAATGCTTTACTAATCCCAGAAAATGTGTCCATATCAATACAGCTAAAAGAATAATGAGGTAAATTGGTCAATTCTAAAACAGTTATCACTGTTTAATAGATTTTTTTAAAAAATCTTCATTAACAAAGAATGTTTCAGGAAGCAATTCAAATTGAATTCATTGTTACATACTAATGTTCTGTTTTAATGGTGAAAATATGCACTTTCTATAATGTTAGAGGTTTTTGCTGAATAAAGGAGTCAGTCGATATTTATTATAGCTGAAATATAAACATCTAACACAGAGTGTTGCTGACAATAGAAATCTCTGCTCCTTAAAAATTATAATAGTTTGAGATAAACACTCTAGGGCCACAATATAATTTTTTTTTAAATTGAGACATAACTTGCCCCCGATTTTCAGATTTAAAGATTCCATAGCTTAATCATTAACAGCATAACATGATCTTTAAAGTCTGTAAAGCCATTTTAATGTCATTACACAAGAAACTGTTTTTTGTTTCACTTTCTTACAAACAGCTGTTATAACAATTCTTAGTTACAATATTTTTTTTGATGCTGCATAAAACTAAATTCAATCTTAAAACAACAGTTGAGTTAGTCTAATTTCAAGCTATCAACGTAGCTTTTTGGTGCAACTCAAGGCTAATCTGCGACACAAGAACTTTGTTTCAGCTTTAGCACAGTATTTGAAAATCAACATGTCGGCCTTTCGATCGGAAACTGCTACTGTCGTGGCCCTTTATCCAATAACGGAAACAAGCATCAATTTGACCACATCACTAAACCTCCACATTCGGGTTTTTTCTTTATAGAGGGCAAAATACACCCTCTGAGAAACACCAAGTAACTAAATTAAGAGATATTTATATGCTAGCAAGCTCTATGCTAGCTTAGCTTAGCCACATGGTGCACGCGTTTGAGAGAAGTCGGTCTAAAATATGTTAAATACAGATTCGAAAGAAAAAAAACTATCCACGACACATTGTGGCTATAGATTATAATGCTAAATTTGCAAAGGAATATGTCACTGGACACTTCATAACAAGAAATAATGCCAGAAAACGAAGGCGACTCACCTCGTTTGATGCTAGTCGTTCCACGCTAAGCATAAAAAGGAATGTCTGAGGGGCAGAACAGCGCATGTGCAGATTTACGTAAGGTTTAGCGGATGTAACTGTTACGCCCAGGATACTCAGCGGAGGGAAAAGCAAAATAACTTGAAACCAATACTGAAAAATGTATAGATATCGAATTTAACAGGTATCTTGTATTTTATTTACAAAATAAATGTATTATAAAAAAAATACCGCAAGCTCTTAAGTCAAAATTAGTTGTAAACTAAGTTTTTATCGTGTACTGAGCAATAATTCAATCTAAGTGATAATTAGGAGTACAATTGAACTATGCTCGGAGGTGAGCTGTTTATTTTAATTTGATCATTCATCACGTGACTTCACGAATGAAATATTTGTCCGTCATTAAAATGATTACCGGCTTAACTTATGTATACTCCAGCTAATAAGGAACTCAAACTTTACTTCTAGAAACATGCTTGACTGGAGGACTGAGTGGCGGTGTGGGTGTGTTGTAAACAGTTCGTGATAAGGTTATATCATGAGTGCTAAACTGATTACTTCTTGCCATGAAACAGTAAGCCTTGAGGATATCAATTTCTTTATTAGGAAATCAGGTCAAAATAATAAAAAAAACAAAAAAAAAACAAAGAAAACAGGGAGCTCTTCATGGAAACTATCATGACATTTTTACAAGTCTGGAAAGAAGAAACATGACTCAAGAAACATACAGAAATGCTTCTCTAGCAACCTTAAAGCCAGAACACAAAGAAAAACCAAACTAAGTCAGTCGATCTAAAAAATTAAAACGCTTTTGTCTTATACAGGACAAAAAAAAAAGTCAATTTGCCTTCAACATTTATTTCATCAAAACAATATTGCTTTGACAACATCTCTAGCAATTGCCGTTTTAAAACCAAATTCTTACATTCCTACCAAATTTGTGAACCAAATTTGTTCTTACACAGGGATGTAACATGAAATTCAATTAGCACAGAGTAAACAGCAGTAGTGGAAGAAGAAGAAGAAGAAAATAAAGGTTATCCTGCTCAGTGTGTGGCTGAATTAAAATCTTCTCAACACCCAGGTAATTTGCTTTGCTCCAAGGTTTAAAGTCAGGAAAAAAAAAATGCAATTCCATCTTCAAGTGCATCATGTAGGAGGAGGAGGGTAGTATTGGTTGTACTGGGCATACTGGTTGTACTGTCCCCAGGAATTTTGTCCCCAGCCGCCATACTGTTGCTGATAAAGAAACAGAAACCCATTAACAACTTCATTTGTTTTGGGGGGAGTGGATAAGCCAACAAGGCATTCTACTCAAACCTACCTGGTACCAGTTGTAGTTGTATGCAGAGCTGTTTGCCTGCATGTCCGTCATCGCGTTTGCTGCAACTGCGGAAGGATCGTCTAGTCTCTGCCTTTTGGCGTCAGGTTCTTGAGAGCTGGAGAAGAAGGTTTGAATGAGACAATTCTGGTTTGAAGACCATTTAGCTTTAGCGGTTAAACAATGCTTGGTGTTTGAGAACAACACAGTGCGCTAATGTGCCGTTTCCTCTCCCACCTGTCATATCCGTTCTCAGCCGTTCTCTTTAAAGAGTCGCTTTCCTTCTGTAGTTTCTGTTGTTCCTCATACGCAGCCACAAGCCTAAGTATGGAATTAAAGGAATGTCGGTGAGACGGAAAGCTCAACATGTCGGTAAACGTCTACACGTTAACTCCCGTTTCACTTACGCGTTGATGTCACTGCCAAAGTCTTCTAAGAATTCAACTTTGCGCTGGGAGAAAATGATGCGAGAGTCCAGGGACAACGGGCTCCTTAGGGCCCGGTCAAAGCAAGCCAAGATCTCCGCCTGGTTCTGCATCACATCGCCACTGAATTCCAGCTCCAGCAGGTTTAGGTATAGTCTCGAACTGGTCTGCAAAGGCAGACATGCATACATATATTACACACAACTGATAGAGCAAGTGACGTCCTGAAAGAGGAAACATTCAACCAAGAAAACAAAAAAACGTAATGTCCGTATTCACTGCGTCGTCCAGTATCGACAGATCCTCACCTGGTCTTTCTCAATGGCATCAAGAAGGACCTTCTTCGCTTTGCTCAGACTTCTCTGCACCTTCACCAGGTGTCTCGCCAGCTTCACGGCGTAGAACGACGACTCCATTTCGTTATTTGCGGTCTCCATTCCCTCCTTCAACAGGGCCTCTGCTTCGTCCAAGTTGCCACGGCGACGCTCCAGGCTGACCCTGCGGAGACGGACCATGGCCAAATTCGGGATCGTTTCCTCCAAGGCCTTCAGGATCCCGCGAGCCTCTTCCACGTTGCCTGGAGAACGACGAGAGTGATACTTTGACCTGAGATCGTTTACTCGCATCCCATTACTTTAAATGTCGTTTCACTTTGACCCTTTGAATTCCTAATGACATACATTACTTAAACCTGCATGACTTTGGACACCTTTATTCTGGTATTTCTCTAATCCTGAGGCCAAATTAGACCGACGCCGACATGAAGTTGGGATTAAGGGATCAGCACTGGAGTAGATTTAATCTTATTTCAGAGGGACAGAATTGTCTGAGTTAGACTACGTTCAAGTTCTCATTTCTCTTGTGGTGTCCCTCAGGGATCAATTCTTGGACCTCTCCTTTTCTGCCTGCCATGTGCTCCCTTTGGGTTCTACTTTTAGAAAGTGTAGCTTCACATTTCATGGCTATGTGGATGATGCTGAACAACATGGATGGTGCCGGTACTTCTTTGAAATGCCTTCTTTCTTAAATGGAAATTACGGCATGAATGGCGCCAAATCTTCTAAAACTTAAGACAGTTTTAGAACGGATAAAGCCGCCCAATGTCAGGCTCAGGCCATAACCCCGTTAAAAAGTCTGTGGACTGTGCAAATACTACATTCTATAAAGTTAAATCGATCGGCTTGCTGAATTTATGTTTTTACCTTGCTGCTCCTCAAATGCTGCCCACAGAAGGTGGATGGCAGGTTTCTTGGGCAGGTGTATGGAGCACGCCTTCTTGTACACATGTCTCGCACCGTCAGTGCTGAAGCCTTCTAGATACTTAGCATACTTTAGAATGGAAAAAAAGGAAAGCAAGTTGGGAGAAAGGCAAGAGGACAGAGGAAAAAAAAAGAAGAAGAAAAGAAGAAAGGCAAGAGAAACAGAACATTTTTAACCTGTAAATACAGTTCGCACACTCAGTGAATTGCTTCATAGACAAGATCGTTTTGAGAAATTTTCTGTGTAAACCCATCAGCACCTTCATGGAACCAATTAGATAAGTTTCTGTAAGGTAGTGGGAGACGAAGAAGATGCAACGTAGTAGTTGGCAAATGCTGCAGTCATATCTTGTGTGGCAAGCTGGCCATCCCCTAATACAACAGATACAGTCACATATCAACGTTACACGCAAAGAGAGTGCAGGACGTTTCTTTGTTTTTTTTTTTTCTGGTTGTTTTTCTTTTCTTTTTTTAAACTGAGTCGATGATGTGATTATCAACGTTGATGGGGAAGTGCAGGGAGGCAGCAGCAACGAGTCGCGAGTTCAAGCCCAACAAAAATACCTTGATCCAGAACTCCTCGTAGAGGGCGCACGCGATGAGGCATCGCTCAAAGAGGACCACCACGCGCTCCGGGGTCCCGTTCTCGATTTCGAAGTCCAGGTACTCCTTCCAGTTGTTTAGCTGCGTTCTCTCCAACGCTTTGACGTGGAAGTAGGGTCGCTTAATCTGACAAAGGGAGAAATCGTTCAGGAAAATGCCGCTTTCACAAGGGAACATGGAGGGAGGAAAAGAAAAAAGAAGAAGAAGAAAAAAACTTACCCCTTCTTCAAAGGACCAGCGCTTGCTGACTTCATGCTCGTTGTGGTTGAACACTTCCTGCCGAACCTCGATCACTTTGTGGCGCATGTTTTCAATTTCTGTCACCCTCTACAAAAAGAAAAAGACAACACACCAAGAACCAGATCAGCACTTTTATGGCTTCTCTCCAGCACAACATTGTCCACTTGTTGAATACTGCTAGTCCTGCAACCAAGGATTTACATCACCATGATGTTGCCAGAGACAAGAAGCCTGTAGAGGGGACAGGAAAGTTTGCACCCTGCACAGCTGGGTTCAAAGGAGCCCCGGTTGATCCTTTTAGTTTAAGGGCGAGTCCCTTACTGGATCTCCTGGCTTGGCTGGTGACATAGAAAAACTTCTTCAAACCTGAGCATTTTCTTTTTTTTTTTTTTCGTTGTTTTTTTAACCCTATGTTATCATGGACAACAGGAATGCTCCTGCTAAACCTGCAAGTGGAATGTTGTCAGTTTTGTCCCTTACCAGGAATGGCGGCGACGTTCTTACCTTGGCGGGATCGGCGAGATCCTCGGTTCCCGGTGGCAGCTCCTCCTGAGGAACGTTCGACTCTCCGTCTTCGCCGACCATTCCAGACAGGCTGGACTTAGACAGCTCGAGTCTGAGCTGAACAAACTCCTCTTCTGACAAAAAGTATTTGGGGTGGTTGCCCTGCACGTGATCTTTGAACCTGAGCAAACGAAAACCAAAATGTCATTCAGTCTCAGAGGCGTGACTGAAGTAGTTTAACAAAAAAAAAAAAAAAAAAAAAACATGAAATAAAAATTAACTGCTCGTCCTCCTGTGTACCTCTGAAAGTGCTGGGAGTACAACTGCGTCGGTATGCCTAAGACGCGATCGTAGATGGTGGTGACGTTAGCCAGCTTCTGCTGCTCCGTCTCCCAGCTTATGTAGGATTCCCAAAGGCGGTCAGATCGGAAATCTGTGCCTGCTGCGAGCACTGCATGTTCGTATGAACTATAAAAAAAACAAGGAAAAGAAGGGATGTTTATTGTGAAAGTCGTGGGTTTTAAGTAGGTCACGTTTAGGCAACGAACGCTGTACTCACGCTCGGATTCGTCCCTCCGTCTCTGGATCGTTGGGGTCCGAGTTCTCTTTGATAAAGGTGAGGTAGTGAAGCCAAAGGTCCACACTAAGAGGAATAGCCTGCAAGCCTCTTCTGTACACCTTGGTAGGAGAGTGTTTGAAAGTCGTTTGTTAGAAGCTGAAACGGCTTTATGATTCTCTGTAAAAGCTGAATGCTTTGGCGCGCTCAACCAGATAAAGATTTAAGTCCAACCACAAAGTTCAAGAGTTTGTTTTTATTACGCGACTGTTTTCCCCAACTCTGGAATTTGAGGCATTGTCCAGCACGTTTCAGGTTTGTTCCCACTTCTGGACACTTTAATTTAAAGCAATCAGTTACCTCAAAGAGCTCATTCATGTCACAGCCAGGATAATTATTAGTCCAATGCAACTGGGTGTTTCAGTTAAACATCTACAACATGCATGGCATAACGGCATGCTGGGGTGGAGAGACGTCATAATGCAAACTGTGATAATACTGCTTTCCCTATGTAGCTTCCCCTCAAACTATATAAAATCATCAAGAAAAAAAAAAAAGTTTTTTTTCTCTTCTCCTTATTACATAATGCTTCCGCTCCACCCCCTTCTTTCTTATTAATGAACCATATTAACAAAAGCACTCCAATATAAATACCAAAAGGACTGCACTGGACTCTGATTTATTTTTGTTTCTGTCTGTTGACCTAATTTTGGTGCTTTGGGGGGGGGGAAATATATATATATATATATATATATATAAAAAAAACAAAAAAAGTCTCAGAGGAACTTGTACCTCTTCTGAAACCTGTAGGTTGCCGTGTTTTTTCTCCATGTCTGCATATTTCTTCCAGTAGCCATAGCAGTAGGGATAACGCAGGAAAAAGACATCAAACGATTTCCTTGCAGGGAGAAGAAGATTCTGCAAAAGACACAATGGAAACACAAGATTACAACTCTGTTTCTAAATGAAAACCTCAGGCATTACATACAAGCGCGACGGAGGCGAGTTGCCGTATTTCAAGTATGTTTTCTTACTTCTTGCTCGACATACTGCAGCAGTGAAACCCAGGCGTTGAAGTCCTCTGGGCTGTCTTCACAGATCTTAAAAAGCTTTTCAAACTCTGAGGGTGGGGTTGGTTCTGTTGGAAGAGAAATTTCCTGTGAACCGTCTCGGGCTGGTTCTTCCAGCTCCATGCCATCCTCCATCTGTGTGGCTTCGGTACCATCTACAAAAGATTTGTAGAAAAGTTAAAAAATAATAACAGAAAAACGGAACATTCAGTTTCAAAGTCTACAGTCTTTTCATTTGATCCTAGGCTTGCTGCCTTACTAAATACCCAAGGATGTTAAACTTAGATTAGCTATTATTAGTTACCTTGACTTCCATCTGGCACAAAAGCCTCTGGCTGAGGCTCAGTAGCAAATTGCAGCGGTTGGTCTGGATCCTCTGTAGGTGGCGGCGGAGGGGGCGGTGGCGGTGGAGGAGGATGCTCTTCTTGGAAAAGAGACGCGCTGGCGAGCTGAAACTGCTCCACAGCCTTCTCCACGGATCCCAACTCGGAGGAGTTCGTTTGTTGGCTCGGCTGCTGCTCTTGTGTCAGATCGTCCTGAGAAGAATTGGAGCCCTCCGGCGCTACGCTGGCGTCCGGCTGTGGAGGAACTTGCTCCAAGGACCAGTCCGCTGCCTGAGCAGGAAGGTCAGGAAGAGATTCGTTCCCATTACTCTCCATGGCTGTGGACTCAGTGTCCAGCATTCCAGTAAAAGTGGCACCTTTAGAATCACAGACCTGTTGGGGGAAAAGAAAAACATATTGGTTATTTTATGAGTAGTAAAAATACGGGATGCACCTTTTATTTTACAAGCAAAACCAAGTAAAAAAAAAGGAAGTGAATTCCAATTTTCTTTTAAATTAAATGCTACAAGCACAAAGTCAGAGGATAGGCTCTTAATAGAAAATAATTACACATTCCTAATTATTGATCAAGAAAAGTAGTTTGAAGCAGCCAAAGCATATTTCCCAGAACTCAACTGATGGCGTCTTTCCACCAGGTGAACAAAAACCTAAATTGAATTCCAGGACCCATTCATTACATCTAAAGCAACATCAAGCTTCAATTTAGCTCAACGTTTACATTAAGATGGATTACTGTACTTTTAAATGACTGGGCGCCGAAAATAAACCCCATGCAGACAGGTGACAGAAGCGCCAGCTGGTGGTGCAACAAGATACTTCCTAGTCCTAAATTCAATTTCGATACAAGGTTCAAGCTGACCTGCTAAAAATAATAGCGGAGATGTGTTAGCTTCATAACATGCCCAATAAAAATAAAATAAAATAAAAACTTCAAGTTTAAAAAAAAAAGAGAAAAGATACCAGCGTTATGACTGAGAGGGTTTGCTGAAATGAGGCGATGTCTCATCCGGGTGATCGCTTGCTCAAAGTTCAGCGATAAATTGGGCCTCTAAGCCTGTCTACTTGACGCGAATGTTAAGCTAACTAGCTAGCAATAGCATAGAGACATTTTTCCCGATTGCGTTGTTTCCATATTTGCTTTTATGCATAATCAAATACCCTCTCTAATAACTGGTCTGAAATACTGAGATAACAAAGCAACGCAACTATAAATCTTCCTTTTTGATTTCGTCCCCAGTTGGTACTACACACCAGACTGGCTAGCCGGTTATCGTCTCCACCAGCGTGGCTAGCATTAGCACAATGTCTAATCGTAGTCATTGATTGCAAAGTAGGATGAATGTCGTGGTTGAAAATCTCACCTGCAGCTCCCAAGTCACTGAAGTCAATCCTCTCAAACGGTAATTACTCTCAAAAGTTATAACCGAACAACCGACAGGCGCGCGTCATCCACCATACCTATCAACTTGGGGGGAAGAACAGACCCAGAGTGCGCATGCCTGCTCAGAACACCATGGAGACACGCTGAACGGGGTTACCAGGGAAAAGCGCAGGGGCAAAGACTTTTTTTTTAAACAAACTTTATTTACACTAAGACAAAAATGTATCCAATGATATTAAAATGTAAGTACATCTATTATATTAAAACAAACAAGTAAATAAATAAATAAATAAATAAAAATAAGAGAGGAAAACAAGCCCAAACTTACTGGAGTTACATGGACGCTGGTTGTTTAATATCATCTGCCATATTTGTTGGCAGGAAACCTGTGCTTGTTATTCTGAGTTATGTTTTTCCTTATTCCTGCTATCACGATATTGGGAAACGTTCGTGACTGTCTGAACTGCTACTGAACAACCTACCTGAAGAACCGAACCATTAGTTCACAACAAGAAAGCAATATTAGCAACTGAATAACTAAATGTGTGTTAAATCACATTTGCTTATGTGATTGATTTATTTGGAGAGAACTTGAGATAATCTGTGCATATTGAAAAACAAAACATGTAAAGATTAATAGAATGTATACATCTTGATTTACATTTTTTACTTTAAAAAATTAATTCAGATGCTTTTCACAGACCTAACTTCTTTTATTCTGTCTTGACATTCCTAAGTGTCTTTTTACTATGCGTGACCATTCAGTTGTTAATGCGACTTGGACAGACTATAAAAAGAAAACCACACTAATATTAGCTTGTTCAGCAACAAAATACACTAGGAAACTGTTTTTTTATTCCTTGACTTACATGTAATATTTTAAATGTCAAGGATCAAACGATTTATTTAGTCAAATTGTGTCATTGTAGAAAATATCATTTGTGAACTTTACTTGTGTGACATTGTGGCCCCCTGTTGACCTAACAACTGCTTAGGGACTGGGTTAAGAGTAGCATTTTTAGCTCTTCATATCCTAGATGTAAAATGTCAGGTCTGTGAGTACCTTTCATTTATGTTTATTTGTTGTTTTGTTCTTAGTTGACATCACGTGCAAAGTTGCCATTAAAAACTGAATAAATATTTTACTCGGGTTGATCAAATGAAACCATGATTATATAAATTACCGAACGTTTATGTTGTAGTTTAAACATAGAAACCTGCAGCTTCAGAGGTCGTCTGATTAAACCATGCTATATTGTCCTGTTTTGTTTAATTTTTTTGTTTGTTGCATTCTTTTGTTCTGAACCTCCCATTAAAAAAAACACTGGTCCCACTCTTGTCCCCCTGGTAAATTTTTCCTGAACCACCATTTATGGCAAACTATAGCAACTCAAAATCGGTTTCATCACAGGACACCCAAAATTTTTCATGCAGCTGTATGGGTGCTTATACACCATATCTTGAATTCTTCTCCTTAGTGGGCACAATTTAAATGAAGATATCTTAAAATACCATTCAGAATGGTGAAAATGTAGTTGTGTCCATTTTACATCTGGAATGTAATTAAAGATAGTCTGACGAAACCGATTTTACGTTAAAACGGCCTGCCATACCCCACTGGCATTTTGACAGAACAGCAGCGCTGTAGTTTCCCTCACTCACCCCCCGCCCATTTCATGCACAGCCTCCACGTCACGCACTAATCAAACGGAAACTGTTTGAATGACTGATCGGACATGTTGGAAAGAACCGCTTGTAAAACCCATCTTGAAATCCTTGTGCCGCATGAACTATTTTAGTAGTTTTACTAAAAAAAAAAGTACACGTCACATTGGAGGTGATTGTGTCTGATATGAGCGTTCTAATGGCGGCAATACGAGCTAATGGGCCACTTGCAACTGAGCTGCCGCTTTCTTTTTTTTCTTGCGCGCATGCGAAATGGCTACGGCGCCTTTAGGGGTAATCGGAAACATTTATTTCCCATAGCCACATGGCTGTACATACTGTACAGTAGATAAAGAGTAGTAAATAATAAATTATTTATCATGTTAAAGAATTAACACATTCTGAAATATTGTTTCAGTCTATGTTTGTAATTTTATTCTAAGATAATTATGTATTGATTTTGACAAATAATATTAACTTGATCTAAATAAATTAGCCTTTGGCTTTAGGGTCTATAGACCCTGCTCAAATAAATTTAAAATTATGAATACAAGTGAAAACAAAAATAGCATATTAAGTTCTGTAATAACAATAAGATTCCATAAATAAATATTCAAGCTTAATATTTTTTTTAAAGTCACCACTGTAATAGTTATTGATAATTTCAAATTGTATTTTACTTTTGAAGTTATTGAGCACTTTATAGATTTACAAAGATACGCTTACCTGTATTTAGTTTTTTATATGAAATAATTTACTTTATTTCATGTAAATTAAATTAAGTTAAATATTAATTCCTTTATGACTCAGAAGGTGTTCAACATGTAAACTAGGCAAATTAGACAAGGTCTGTTTTTTATCATTTACATTGTTTTATATCAAATAAAGTACAAGAAAGCAAACCAAGTGAAATTACTTTGGACTATGTTCCTTGTCTGACATGTTATTTTTTATTTTTATTTTTTTTTAAGCTCATGCTAATAGTCTTAGCGTTATTTCTTTATAATTTCAGATGACGGAGCTTTACTCGTGTTCCTGAACGCAGCACTGCTCTGTGTGTGTGAGTGCGCGCTGCAGAGGAAGTGGCGGCTGATCTCGGTCCGCACCTTTTCCGGTAACAGCCCCGCCACCGCTGTGCCTGACTGAACGGCTGGAGACACAGAGGGAGGAAGACAAATCGAGAGCGGCAAGAGTGGGGGAGAAACGGCCCGGGGGACTGGGGAATGGTCGCCGCAGACGCAGGTATTTATCCCGCTCTTGCAGTTTTTTTTCATCTGTTTTCCGTTGAGCTTGTAGGTTTCAGCAGAGAGAGTATTTTCTTTTTTTGTCGGATTCAAAGTTGTCCTCTGTACTAACACCCCTCCCTTCTTCGGACCGCTCCTATGTCACAGGGGGAAGGAAGAGAAGAAAGTCGGATGAATCAATGACCTTTTGAGCGGTCCTCCTGTGGTTACCCCGGTACTGAAGCGGACTCGGAAGGCTCTGAATTGTCGCCGCCGGTTAGCGAAGAAAATCGGCGTGCTTCGAAATTCACCGAGGGGGAATAAGCTAAGTGTGGACAGCCGGCGGCCAAGAAGGAAGTGGGATCCCCCGGCTTGGCCTGGGCCTGATTTATATTGTCCTTAGGTTGAAAGAACTCCTCAAACCAGACTCTGCTCGTTCACCTGGGAGGAAAAAAAGATCTTGTAAGCAGAGTCGACCCATATTTTTGTTGGTTTTGGGAGGGAGTGTGTGGTCTAAGCCGACTTTGAAAGAAGGGAATGTCGTTTTTTCTTCTCACATCGGAGGGCAGTGGATCATGAAAATATATCCCCACCCAAATCTACAACAGCACCCCATGAAGTCCCTCTGATTCCTCAGGCCAGATTACCTCAATCCAGCTCATTGTACTGTAAAGACCTAAACGCTGCTGCCAGCTCTCAGATTTTTTTTTTGACACTTGTGTCAACCCACTGTTGTCACGTGTGTAGCTTCACGTTGAACCCCGGCCTTCTCTGTTGTCCTGAAAACAAGCTTGGCTCTAATTAGGAGTTCCCCTTCTTCTTCTAACAAAGTATTTATGCACAGTAAACAAGATGGGGAAGATGCTGTCAAAGATCTTTGGCAACAAGGAGATGAGAATATTGATGCTTGGACTTGACGCTGCCGGGAAAACCACCATCCTGTACAAGCTGAAACTGGGACAGTCGGTCACCACCATCCCCACGGTGGGGTTCAACGTGGAAACCGTCACCTACAAGAACGTCAAGTTCAACGTGTGGGACGTGGGCGGCCAGGACAAGATCCGGCCCCTCTGGAGACATTACTACACGGGCACGCAGGGCCTGATCTTTGTGGTGGACTGCGCTGACAGGGACCGGATCGACGAGGCCAGGCAGGAGCTCCACCGGATCATCAACGACCGGGAGATGAGGGACGCCATCATCCTGATCTTCGCCAACAAGCAGGACCTGCCAGACGCCATGAAGCCCCACGAGATCCAGGAGAAGCTGGGCCTGACCCGGATCCGGGATAGGAATTGGTACGTTCAGCCCTCGTGTGCAACGACAGGGGATGGACTATACGAAGGCCTGACCTGGCTTACCTCAAATTACAAATCCTAATGTTTCCTCCCACCCACCAGCTTGGACGTTTCGAGACACACACACACTCACACACACACACACACAAAAAAAGTAGCAGAGAATTAAAAAAAACAAAATAAAAAAAACAAGGATGCAATTTGAAGCAATTAATTCAATTCAATGATCTCTTTGCTTAATGTGTATTGAAAAGAGTCGTAATTTACTTATTGGTTTATTTTTCTTTATGACAAGTATTTCACTTTAATCCCAAATTTTCAGTTAAGCAAAATAAAAAAGAAAATGTTTTTCTTTAGTTTTCTTTAGTTCTCAATCTGTGTAATCAGTTCTGTTAATCTACACATCTTACTTTTGTGCTTTTTACTGCATTTTGCTTTTGTTTCCTCATTATTGTATCATTTCTTTTAAAGAGGGACTCACCTGAACGGTGCTGCCTCCCCCCCCCCTCCCCCTCCTACTTAGTTCGTATCCTGCACTCTCACAACCCAGCTACATATCCAAAGGATGGGGGGGGGGGAAAGCCCAGAAACGGTTTCCTAGATCAGCATATCACTTCTGAAGGCTCGGGGGGTGATGCCTCCGTTTTCTGTCAGAATGTGTACTATGGATGTGTTATTAGGACCTTTTTTAAAAAGTTCAACTGATTGTACTGGGATGAATGAGATGTGGAAGCTCCTCTCTCCTGTGCAGTGGTTCCATCCATGATAATGACCAACATGGACGCTGGATATTCACACTGTGATATGGATATATAAAAAAATATATATATGTAAGTTTTTTTGGGTGGGAGGGGGGGTTTCAGGGTGAGAATCTGAATCTGTTACCAACCAGTCTCTTGTCATCTCCACTCTCGTTTCTCTCAGAGCTTCCATTGAGTGTTTTGTAGTTTTCAGCTGCCTTAGGCCGGACCAGGGTCCCAGGTGTGCCACCCCCCTCTCCCACTCCCCGTCCTCCCCGAAACTGAGACAGTCGCAATGGCGAAGGGTATTCTCAGCCGCTGAGTTTGCACTTTGAATGGGAGAAGGGAGGGGGGGTTGAGCAACTTGCTGGTAGTGCATACTTTTTTTTTTTGGATTTTCTTGAACTGACTTTTGGACTCCAGCGAGGTTTACAAAGATCCAAACCCCCCCACCCCCTTCTGCCCGCG